CTTTTGTCAACCTCCTGTTGACATAATCAAAGTAAGGGTTAAAGGTCGAAAGAAACTACATATATGCCTATGTGGCCATTTAACAGTCGAGTCATAGAGCCCGCCCTGTTCTCCCATATTCATGTGTGTGTGTGTGTGTGTGTAGGTCTTTGGTTATTCGGGTTTTCTCCCGCGTCAAATTGGAAGTGTCTTGGTGACGTTTCGACGAAGTCTCATTCGTCATCTTCAAGCTGGTGTTTTTGGCTTCGTGCTTCTAGGAGCAATGTGTGATCATAGCTGTTTCTTCCTTTTAACTGCCAGTGGGGGTATGAACTGATTGGATGAGAGCTTGGCTGTGTTGTGATTGGATGGAGGTGTGTTCTGATTGGTTAGGAGCTTGGCTGTGCTCTGATTGGTTGGGGGAGTGTTCTGTTTGGGTGGGGGCTTTGTTGTGCTCAGGTTAGTCTGAGTTGCAGGGGGGTTTAAGATGGTGGGCTGCCTTGCTATTTTTTGGCTTCGCGTTCGTGGTCGTGCCTGTGCCTCATCTTCATGATGGGTGTCAGTTTGCTTCATGTTTGGATTGGAGGGGTTTAAAGTGGCTAATGATGCAGCTGTGGTCTGCCTTCTGGTTTGTGGTCATGCCTCATCATCGGTGTGGGTTTGGGTTTGCTTTTTGCGTGGACATGTGGTGATGACATCCTGTATGGCTTTCGTGAGTGTGGGTCTGGTGTCATTCTTTGTGTTAGGGACTCGTTTGTCAACAAGGGTGGGTTTCCAAATGGCTGGTAGGCAGGAGATATCATCTCGTTTGTTCATGCTGTGTGGGCGTTTTTCTATCTCGATGGCTTCTCTGATTATTCTGTTATTAAAGTGTTCAGTTTTGGCGATAGTTCTGGTCTTTTTAAAGTCAATTTCATGTCCTGTGAGTTAGAAAATCAAGGAGTATATGAAATCCTATGCACCGCTTGTCCCACCACATACATCGGACAAACCAACAGAAGAATAAGTGCCCACATTGAAGAACATAAGAACTCAGTCAAAAAAGAGGAACCAACTTCTTCCCTGGTCCAACACCTTAAAATCACAGGACATGAAATTGACCTACATACACACACACACACACACACACACATTTACATATCTACACACACACACAACTTTAGAATTGTGCATGTGAAAACTGTATGGATATAGCCCAGTCCTAGTTTTGGAGCACAATACGGAGACAACAGCATGATTTAGGGCAGTGTAATTTCCTGCTTACTCTAGGAGAGGAGAGGAACACAGCAAACAACTGTGTAGATGTGGCCGATGTCTCATTAGCCAAGTTTATTGGAAGGAAAAGGGGTTTAGTTTACTGAATCTTGGATATGTGTATTCTACTCATTATCAAGAGTGGCCTCTTTGATAGTTTTGAGCCTTTTTCTGTCACCTGGTTCAAGGGGAATTTACTCCCAGTTTAGCAGATACATCAGAGAGATGTATTTGCTATATAGTACTTTGAAAATACCTATTCCTATCCCCAGGGAAAGAGAACTGTGTTACAGCAGCATGAATGAGAACTGCATAGTAAAGAAAATGGAGTCAGGGTTGAGTCAAAATTTTACACAGAGAGGGAGGGATAGACAAAGTTTCAAGGAGCCTTGATAATACTGTGTTTTATAATATGAAATTGGTGGATACCATACTGCAGTCTATGTCCAACATTTTGGTTTGCTTGAGCCGCACAGTGAAGAGGAATTGTCTTGGCCATATATAAAAGTCATATATAACTATGGGGCTGCATTATTAGCTGTCCAGGGCGGGTGATGGGCCATGGATTGGACACACCAGATTTAAACCAATATTCTGCATGAACAAGGTCCAGAAATATAATTACAAATGTTGGACTTGTTAGACTAGTTTTATTGTCAATATGGTGTAATGAGTGCTTTTTTGGTGCCAACAGTTGACCACCTCCTGTTAAAAAAAGGTAATTGCTTCCTCTTATTATAGTGATGAGTTGGCACTGCGATCAAATTATAAATTAAAATGGAGGCGTTCGCACCTCATATAGAATCTGGAGACTCAGGTGATCTCTTCGGACTAAGCTTCCATTAACACACACACTGCTGCCTGTCCTCGGGAGCGACAAGTTACAGTACAAGTCACGCAGCTGCTGTACGGTCGAGTAGTAAACAGTGCGACGCGGCAGCCACGCTCGAGGTAAGTTAATGAGGCGGAACAAAGGAAAGGCAGGAAGAGGAACGAGAACAAAGGAAGGCGACCTGCCAAAAAGCAGCCGCGGGCACTCGGACAGCAAGCCAAGAGGAGCTACAGACTTTTAACGAGCAGAAGCTGGAGGAGAGAAAGAAGAATAGAAGCAAAAAGCTGGCTTCGTCTGCATTTGAAATCGAAAAGCTGGATTCTTCATTCCAAGCAAAGATGGAACGTGCCGGCCCCCAAGGACTGGGTTGTTTGTCTTTCCTACTTTCTCCTGCATTTCAACTCAGACCGCGAAGGATTCAAGGTTTTGCTCTTCAGTCACCAGATTAAGCTTGCCGCGCGAACACAAACATTGCGTGCCCATATTGCCTCCCTGAAAGAAACGCCACGTGCCGAGATGCCTTGGGACAGGCTCTGTCTCTCCACATTTTTGGCCTGGGGTGCTGTTTCAACCGAAAGGCAGCCACCCACGCGTGCCTAGAATTCGTCCGTCGCCGCCGGCCCGCTCTGTCTTAGGGCGCGCAGCTGAAGCGAGGGGTAGCCCCTACAAGGTCAAGCGTCCTGTCCCAAGGTCTCTTCGCCCGGAGCACCTACTGCAGCTCTTTTCTGCGCCTACCTGAGGAATTCGTGTCATTTTTCTGCTTCTTGGCGTTCGCCATGGTTGGACTTCGGATCTCCCTCGCCCTCCCCGGGAGTGTTGCTACCACAGTCCTTCCCCTCCCTCCAGTTGCCTCGAAGGAAGACAGACACCCTCCGCCGCCCGCCCTCTTCTCCTCCCCTCCGAAAGGAGCGCCTCCTTTCCTCAATTGTCTCAGCTTGCTCTTATCAAGACTGGGGGGGCTGAGCGCTTGTCTCGGTCCCCGCGGACGGGCTCAGCCCTCTGCTTTGGCCTCGGAGGAGTGAGAGAAGCGCCGCGAGGCCGGAGGTTTGCGGAGAGTTGAACCCTAAACACGCGCTGCCATTTCGTATAAAGAAGCAAAGGAGGCTGGGATAGCCTGACGGGGTAAAGTACCCGTCTGAGGACACCACCTCAAGGTTCCCAGAGCGACGAGGCTTTCCGTGATACCTCCTTGTTGTTTTAAAGCTGATAAAGGGAAGGATTTATCCACAGATGCACCCCATTCTGTGATCTTGACCTGGCTTATTAGGCGTACCGATCAAATACGGATTGTGAAAGTACTTTTTCTTGATACCCAAAGCCATTGAAAGCAAATCGCCAGCCAATCTTTCTGAGATGAAATGGAAGAGGGAAACATTTCCTTTCAGGCGAGAAATTCTGCTGGTGTTTTCTAATTTCCGTAAGAGCAAACCAATCTGTAATATTTTCTGCTCACCATAAGTTCATGATACTTGAACTGGTAGCTTATTTTAAAGCATCTCTCCCAGTGAAGATCAGTTGTGGAAATGGATTTCTCTTCCTATACCATGGGATGCTGCCATATATATTAGCCATGGTGAAAACGCCAACCTGTAGAGTACGCAAACATTTGAATGAAACAGAGGGGGAAGCTTTTGCCATTACAAAACCATCAGGATTCCCAATGTGTCTACACAGGGAGGTTCCCCATAATTAGAATAGCTGCTTATAAATGAGATACATTGAATATTCACTTCACCTCAAGTGCTGCTTGGGTGGGGCCCATATGGGGTTAATTTTTAATTCATTATCTATTTTCTCTTTTAGAACAAAATCAGAAAAAAATTAAAGATAGTTGAAATACATGCTTAATATCTTTTGACTGATAGTGTCAAGAGTCATCCACTTGGAAATATCTGTTGTAATACATAGCTAAGCTTTGGCGACAGTATTTTAATTTTAGATTATATAATAGCATTTATAATTATGTCCATGTTTGTTAATATCTGTACAGTATTTGTTTTATTTTATTAGATTTATATCACCTTTATTATAGGTAATGTATAAGTAACTTTATAAGTATTTTGGTGCCTTCAAGTCTGCACTGAACTTTGGTGACTATCTGGGCAAGTCCCTGCAATTTTCTTGGCAAGATTTCAGAAGTAGTTTGCCATTGCCTTCTTCCTAGATTTTATAAGTACAGCATTTGAAACGTGGATTTACAGGCAGCTGTTACGTATAAGCTGGGTTGACAAGATCAGAAATGAGGAGGTGATAAGCTGCCTGGGAAAGCCAAGGGAAATCATCAAAACAGTTAAAAAACGAAGAATATTTCAGACATGTGATGCAACACCCAGAAAAATACGGCATACTCCATTTAATCCTCCAGGGAAAGATTGAAGGCAAACGAGGTCCAGGCAGAAGAAGAACATCCGTGGCTTCAAAATCTAAGGGATTGGTTTGGACAAAACCCAGCAGCACTTTTTTGTGCGGCTGCTGATAAAAACAGGATCGCCAACATCCGATAATGGATATGGCACAAAAAGAAGAAAGTTTATAAGAAAGTGACTGGCACAATGTCACCCAGCTGGTTTTATGCCCAAAGCAGGTCTAGAAATCATAGTCTCCCAGTTTCCAGTCTGATATTTGAACACTAAATCTATTTGGCTCTGATCAATGGACATATTTTCAGTTAATTTTATATTGTACTGATTAGATAATAAATAGCATAAATGAAGACTGAGATTCACTAAGAAGTGGAATTATGAAGCTATTTGTATAACATGAAGAGTCATTTAATCAAATTAACTGAACTACCTACATTTGCACAATATACCAAATCATGAATTAATCTACAGGCTTCACTAACCCAAAATGCTGAACCATTAACTATCATTATTTGGCAAATCCAACCTGAGCTTCACAAATCATGGTTTGCAAATTTAAATGACACACATTTAAACTCTGTTTGCAGTTCATGGAAATACTCTGGTTTCAAATGCTTGCCTATGAGTTTTAGAGTATGCCCATTTCTATTATTTTACTTTGTTCCATGCTGTCCATGAAAGGTTTTGTAACTATGAGATTGAAAGAAAAAGAAGAAACAGAATACTATCAAACTTGGGACTTATTTTATCGATGGCTAGAGGAAAGAATAAAGGATTAGGAATTAAATATATAATAGCGAATGTAAACTCAGACAGCACATTTGTTGAAAAATTATTACTGAATGTATGGGGGGAAAACAATAAAAACTCTTATAAAAAGGTTTTGTAACTTATGTGCTGCACAGCTATAATCAACCACACAAATGCTTTAGTTTTCAATGTGTTTTGTAAGTTAAATATTACGACTACTTAATAGGTTATTTCTTTGGATTAAAGTTTAATCTGCCTGTAAAATCACAGAATTGGGCAATACATGTTACTGCTTAGCCACCTGTTGGTGGACAGCCATAAATATTTAAAAATGATAATTGGTGATTGATGATTTTGTTGAATTCTGTGAGTGCTATGCAGAGAGTACCTACCACAATGGTTATTTTTCTGGCCATAACAGATACAAGATTCACCGAAGAATGTCATGCTGAGTAATTAGAAATATAAGTTCATTACCTAAACTGTAAGAAGCTTCCATAAAATGTATCAGTGTTCTACTTTATGTCCATTTTATATTGGTCTCATAGTCCATTCCTATATATTTCATGATGAAGTCTTTATGATAAGAGCAATGCATTTTATTGATACATACAAGAAACTTCATAAATAATAAAATACAGGATTTGAACATAGAATTGCAAGTTCATTCTCCTTCCAGATTATCTCAGTTGCAGACCTTTCCCGTTTAAATTGTTCTAGTTTTTTGAATACAAGTTAAAGAAAGTCTCCTTTACTCTTCTTTTCCTCTTTTTCTTTTAACTTGTGCTTCACTGATTGTACTGTACTTTGAACCTACATCAAGATAATCCGTATAAATTCCTGGCTTTGAGTCATTTTACAAGCAAGGCAAGTTGGTGGCAAGCCAAATGCTGTTTACATATTTAAAAGTCTGGATTTTTTTTTAAAAAAAAAACTGCTTGCCAAAACCAACAAATGTCAAATGTCCTTATTTGTGCTTTTGTTATGGATCCATTTTATCTATATGTACTGTATCAAAAATGCACAGCAAATATTTTCATGTTAGTAGAGTTATAATTAATATGCAACTTACAGATTTCCAAGTTAATTGGAGGGGATTTTGATTCAGAGACACCTGGAAAACATGGCGTGTGCTGAGCTAGAAATTTTGTGTTTCAAGAAAGTTTCCCTGGATGATTACTTATCTACCAAAGATTTTAAATACAACCACAAGCATATGATGTAGGACACACATTGTGTTTACATGGCACAATAATAAAGCTGAAAAAACACTTCTGAATTTTTATATCAAAATGTTCTGCAAAAGTTTTACCAAGTGTTTTAAGAACTTCTTAGTGACCAAGGAAGCATTTCAGAAATGTGCTGGAGTCAGGAAGCTTTCAAGCCACTGAACTTTAATGGATCCTTCTGTATGATGAACACTACTACTTCTTAAACTCTACAAAAGTCAAATGAATATTAAATTTCACCCAGTTTATATAAAATAGATGTTATTCTAAAGTCACAGGAGTACTTTATTTGAAATATGAAACAAATAATGATAACATTCTAATTAGGTATATAACTATATAAATTAAGGCAGATATTGTATCTGACTTCTCTAATAATCATGACATCTGTTTATTAATCAAATTTCTATAATTGCCTATCTCAAAAAAAGGACTATGGAAGGTAAATAAAAAATAGTTAAATTATAGATATAAAAATGTAAAAATCCACATTAAAAATAGTATAAAACAGATATACAAATCCTAGGCAGAGAGAGAATATAAATTCTCTCTCAGCAATGGATCTTTCTAAGCCCGCCTCTAGTTCCCTGGGACCCCAGATAACATAACCAGATTTTGAGGACCTTCCAGAATATTAAAGGCATGGAGCTCATCTAATTTTGGGATTGGGAAGAGGATGTTCAATAAGGCAAGCACCATGGCAGAAAAGGCATGTCTCCTACCTTCCTCTCCCAAATGTTATGTTCTTGGCTGATGTACCCTCAGAACACCTTCTCTGCCAGATTAACGGGATGGGCTGACGGTAGCTGGGAAGACTGATCCTCAGCTAGGGTGGTCCCATGCCATGGAGCCCAGTTCTATGTCTTCTTTGTGAATGAGACATGTAGGTGTTTTGTTAGGGCTGGACAGTTTTTATACAATATATTCTGTATTAATTAGTACTATTGCTTTATCAATTAGATTTAATAAAAATGTAAGAATGTGAATCAACTACTGCTTGGGCAGAAATCTTTGCAATTTGGGATCTTCTAGGCTGACCAATCTCATGGTTTGCTATGGAACTAAAGGAGAAAGGGAGGCTAAAGTTGAGCGATAAAGTAATTATCTGTACTTTTTGTTACTTTTAGTAGTAATCATAGAAAGCTACATGTAGCTTTGGACAGACACAAATGCACTCACTGAACTATTACTATGGAATATGCAAATTACCAGTTGAAAGTGAAGATGGTCTTTTGAGTGGTTATTCAGTTTTTGCTGGACTTTCTCTTTTAGCAAAAAAAGGCTTCTTTGCTTTTAACTCCCTCACTATGCATTTTGTAAACCACCCAGAGTCATGACTGACTAGGGCAGCCTTTTACAATTCCCAAATAAATAAATACAATTTTAAAATCCATGTGTGTATAGTACTAGGAAAAATGGTAGAATGACAGCTCAGGTTATTCCTTATTCTCATCCTCTAATGGCTCATATATATTTCAATTAATTTTGTATTTAAAATAAATTTCAATTAATGATTTTCCCCTTTTATTTTTAAATCATCTTAGGGTACTTTATACATACCACTTCACTACCTTATTGCTCCAGTTATAGCAGAACAAAGAAGAAAGAGAAGCATTCTTTTCTGGAAGAATAAAAAAAATGTGTGATCTAGATAAGTCTTGACGAGTACTTTGTAGCTGCCAGTGTTCACTTTAAGATCAACTTTAGATATTAGATGTTCACTATTATATGCTGTAATCTTATACTGTTTTACCAGAGTAACTTAATTTAGATAAACAGACTATAACTTCAGATTCAAAGAACCCTGTCTTATCTGCTTTCATGACTCTTCTGGTGCAGTAATGTACAATGTAAGTGAACTTGCAGTGTGCCTAATCAATGGAGGACAGCTTCCAATCCTCCTTTTTTCAGTACACAAATGCTCAGTAACAACAGGCTGGATTTTTTGTATAGCAGAAAGGAATCATCAAACTTCTTTCGCAAAGTCTTAGGTAGTTATCAAGAAACTGGATACTATCTAAAGGCTAACAAATACAAAATGGCGGAAGATAATAAAATAAAAAGCTCATCAAGTGAATTCTGTAAGTTCTTCTTCTAATTTTTGTTGATGGAATAAATACATGACATATATTCAGTTTAGCATGTTTAATTTTTTCCCTTTCTAAACAGATAATTTTATTTCACACCTATTCACTTTTAAAATGTCCACTTCATTAATAAAGGCACTAGAAGAAAATGCATCAAAGACTGTTTTTCAAATAATATCAAGTAATTCATCAATTTTTTATACTTGAGGCGGAATCTGACTCAGTAGTCATTATTTATAAAAACTTTGGGAATGAGAAGCCCATGAAAGCATCCTTGCACAGTTATTAAATCAATTCATAATGATAAATTAGTCTTAAAATTAAATTTTGAGATATTCCAGAATAAAAGGGATATATTATTTAAGCAACATACATAATAAAGGACAAATATCTTTGTATCAAACATTTTCTGGTTTTGCAATTCATGATAGATATTTATCTTCAATAGAAGTATTCTTTTAAATAGTTAATAAACTATTGTTTTCAGAGAATTACAATATCATTGGAGAACTGGAAAACAGCTGTTTTGTGGTAAAAACAAATATTACATACATCATACAATGTCAATATACAAATGACTGAACATTTCCAGTCATATTTTTTAAAGTCTTTCAAATATTTGGTTTTTGCCTTTTGGGGTATTTTTCTTCTATAAGAAAAATCAAACAGAAGAGATATTCATTGATTGTGACCCCAAGGATTGACCTACTTTTTTTTTCCTTTATCTCATGCCATCTTCAGTATTCACTTCCTTCAGTTTAGAGCAGCATTCATTGACAATCCTATCTACTTAAGGCAGCTGCTAAAATATCCAATTCATCTCTAAAAGAGGTGTCCCCGATCCTTATAGTTTAAGAATGCATACATAACTGATGAAAGAAGTGCTACATAAAAATATGCATATTAGTGTCTTCTCCTGGTGAGTAGAAAGTCCAGTTGCATGTTCACTGTCTCTTTAGGACAGCTTTGTAACAATAAAGGGCTCTATCACTTCAGAAAAATCTTGTTACAGGTCTCTGTTGACTTCATACTGGCACATACATGCAGCTCGCTGACTGTCAAGATATGGCTTGCATCCGAGATGTATGAGTGCATCAAACACTAGTTGTACTGTAGATTCACAAGCTGCAAGATAGGGGAATATCTTTAATAGTACAATAAAGAAAAGCTGTCATTATCTACTTGAGAAGAAAAGATAAATAAACCATAGTACAATCATAGCTTTGGGCAATGAGTGACTCAAATTACAATTAATGCGATGTTTTTTACCAACTGAAGTTGCAGGAATTAATCTACCAATAAGACTTAGAATTAGAACTGACAGTGTTTACAAGAAATGCAGAATAGTGATACAAATAGCTAATTTCCCTTATTTCCCCATCAGAAATATTTCTACATTAATCAACAAACATAAATGGTAGGTATTAAATATCAATTGAAAAAAGTGACTTATGACCATTTTTCACACTTATGTCCATTGCAACATCCCTAGAGTCACGTGATCAAAATTTAGGTGCTTGGCAGCGGGCTCATGGTTATGAAGGTTGCAGTGTTCTAGGGTCATGTGATCACCTTTTGCATCCTTGTGACAAGCAAAGTCAATGGGAAAATCAGATTAATTTTACAACTGCAGTGATTCACATAGGAACTGTGGCAAGAAAGGTTGTAAAATGGAACAAAATTCACTTAACAAATGTCTCAGCAACAGAGATTCTGGGCTCAATTGTGGTTGAAAGTCGAGAACTACTTGTATAGTTTAATTACTCCTACAATACCAATACATTATAATCACAAATATGTTTGTGAAGCTACACTATGATTTTTTTAACTAGCAAAACTTGGACAATTTCATCTCTCCATAATATTTAGTCTTAAATCTCCATCCTCTTCCTTGCAGAACATTTTTAAATCCATAGTTTATTTAAAGGGAATAAAGAGAAAAACATTAGATGGAGAAACAGTTAGCTTAGCCTATAAGTAATTTAATTTAATCCTGAAAACTAAGTGGATGGTTTAATCTGAAGAGTTTTAAATAAAACTTAATGGGCGATTCTGTTATATTCTTTATTCAAACATGATTTCCTTTAAATAACTGAACGTAAGTACATACCTATCCATTTGAACATATAGAAGAACCAAGTTGTAGATAATGCAATCACATTAACCTGATACTCTGGTTTAAATTTTTCTTTAATTGGGCTCAGATTATATAATCTTGGTAAATCTCTTATCACACCATATTTCTCAAGAATGGCTCACCTTGCACAGACTCAGGTATTCCTAATGTCTTCTGCACATCTCTACAGATCTTTGAAAGGCAATATTGAAACTGCTCATCACAATCATGCTTTTTGCTACCACAAGTGTCGTAACATCTGTCATGTTGATTGCAGCATTTTGTCATTGAAGGAATGCCAATGTCAAACTGAAAAACAAGTTCTAGTGATTAGCATCTTGAGAGTTAAATGCTATTTAAAGCCCATAAAGTTAAGAAATTTTCTCTTCTGAAGGAGCTCTAAGAGTAGATGAAAGGTGATGGGAATGTTGCAATATGCATTGATGAACATCCATTCTCCATTTTCCCAGTTCCTTCCCTCCCACTCTGCCATTGCTGAAGTCCCAGAATGGCATATTCCCATTTCCGCAGTCACCTCTCAATCTTCCCATTGCCTTCCCTCCCTCACTTCAGCTGCTAATACCTTTGACTTTTCCTGTATCCCCAACCTCCACTTCTACTTAGAAAAAAGTAAATTCATTTTGTTCTGTGCACAGGCCTAAATATCCAAAATGTGTGTTTGGACCAAGTCTCCCCATGGATTCTATGAGACGATCAGTTCATACATGGGGTATTCTGCACATCTGTTAGCAACTTACATGAACTCCAAAGAGTGGAGAACCACATCCATTGGGTGGTGAAGGTTTATAGCCATAGCGAGATAAAGGTTTGTATCCTGTAAAATGTTAAGTTTAGAATATGTAAAATGCTTCTGATTTTTCTAAACTCACTCAAGACAATAATTTATTAACCTATTGTTAAAGATATATGAACATTTGTTCATTAGTTATATATCACAACCTTCGAGTACTTAAGGTATTATACATAGCACTTTCTCCTCCAAACTTTTTCTCTTAACAATGACATGGTGAAGTACTTGGGATGAAATGAAATGCAGCTACCAGGTCATCTCCTGAATTTCCACCGAGTCTGGATTTGATCCAAAGTCACTAGTTCCACATCCATACCACTTTTTCATCTATTGTCTCAATTGTCTGAATTTAGCAAGATAATTAACTTAATCTCACAGCACTGTACACATCTATTCAGAAATCATATCCTTTGAATTGAATTTGCTTACCAAATGAATGAATATAAAACTGCAAAGCATTTCTCAAATTGTGACCAATTGGATCACTAATGTCTCTGGAGTTATCTTCTGTTAATTGTTTTGAAGTGCTGTATTGGATATCCATTATGAAATTAAAATGCCAGTAAGGTTTTTTTTTTAAAATAGCTATTCAGTTTGGGCATGTTAATAAAGTTCCATTAATTTACTTTAGACTTAATATGTAGAGGTTCATTTAACCACTTGCCAAGGTCTCCCCTAATGATATGGACATAAGATTAAGGTTGTGAAACCACAATAAATTCAAAGAATTAGAGCAATAAATATATGAAAACTGGGTTTCAATGAGTTAACCTAGCCTTTTAAGTACTGTTGAAAGAAGAATGGATTATATTTCACATCCATTTCCAAATTTTCTAATCTGTTTAGCAGAATTGATGCTTACATAAATAATCTCTTCTGCCTTCTGCAATATAATCCTTGGCATTTTCACAAAATAACAGGAACTGAATATGCTTGAGATCATGATAAAATATAACAATGGCTATATTGTATGCAGTAAGGAGCCAATATAATTGTTATTGCTACTATTTTAAATACATTTTAGGCATCTCTTGAAAGTACAAATATGAGACTTCAATCCTATAACCTGGGATTGAGTTCCACTAAATTTAGTATGATTACTTCTGAAATAGCCAAATACAGGAATATGCTGTTCAACTTCCAGCATTAATGTTTACATCTGTCATCTGCAACTTATAGACATTTTTTGGTTTGAAAATATTGTATTTATACCCTGTTTTTTCCTATGTTGTGGCTGGGATGCTCACTGTTCAAATTTTAGATTTGCCTGACTTTAGCAAGAAGCAATTTATATGTTTTTGTTATTTTTATGCCATTCCCTTAACTTACCTTTGCATGGACAAAAAAAATAAATTCATTAAACATGTTTGGCTTCATAACAAATAGTTAAACATATATACATTTCTTCTAATATAGTATTATTACCATCACTGCATTTATACTGACAGAGTCCATCCTCTCCTCCCAGGAGATCCAGAGCAGCATTTAGATAAGTATCGATCTTATGAACGCCGTTTCTGATGGTCTTCAATGTCATCCTCCAATCCGGAGTTTCGGGCTCCTGGCATCGGCTCGGCTCTAGCAGTATGGCGAATAAGGCCCCGGTCACGAGCAGCGGCAACAAGACCGCTCGCCTTACCGGCATCTCCGAACGCCCGAGGGCCGGAGTTCTAGAACTCCCACGCATAAACGCCGTGGGTTCTGTAACTCGGGGCACAGCAGCCTTCGAAAAGTTCCGGGAAAGGCGAAGGCTGGATCTCTCCAAATGCTAACTGGCAGCTCATTCCGGGCACGCCGACCCAGTAGCTGCCCCTCACCCACGCGGATAGCGGCCGCGCAGAGTCCTCGCACCTATAGTCAGCCGAGGTTGGAAAACATCCACCATGCCGCAAAATGCTTTCGGTACCTGCTTCCGCAACACCGCCAGATCGCCCTGCGCCAGCCCTTTTCTGGGCGGAAGAGGAAAAAAAAAAGGGGGGGCGTTGCCAATCCTTTGGGAAGCAAAGTAAGAAGTCGTGGCGCAAAGAGTCAGGCCGAGCGGGCGCTTCAATTATCCCAGAAGTGGTTTAGCACAGATTTCCTCCAAGGGCCTTAAAGAGACAGAAGCAGTTTTCTCTGGCATTCAAAGCTTTCTAGTGTGATTTACACTCAAAACTGACTTGAAGGGACAGCTTATTATATTATGATAATCTCAAAGAGTACGAAGCCTCCCAGGTGATCCCTTGCAGGAAGACTCTCGGTCCCCAATGGGTTCAATGGAGGCACTGGATGGAAATTCATCAAGGAGAGAAGCAACCTAGAACGAAGGAGAAATTTCCTGACAGTTAAAACAATTGGTGGAACAACCTGTCTCCAGAAGTTGTGAATGCTCCAACACTGGAAGTTTTTAACAAGAGATTGGACAACCACTTGTCTGAAATAGTATAGGGTTTCCTGCCTGAGTATGGGGTTGGACTAGGTCCCTTCCAACTCTGTTTTTCTGTTCTGTTCTCTTCAGTGAAACTTTGTGCATACCACTCCTTCATTTGAAGGCAACACATTAGTCTGTAGCACCTTTTCCTGCCAACAAATTGCATCAGATGTGTTGATAAAGTGTGAGGTGAGGCTCATGAAATGCTTAGACTGTGTTTTGATACAATTTACTAGTCAGAAATGGGCTGCAAACTTTTTTTTTTTACTACCATAGACTAACATGGAACTCCTACAATCTCCACTTAAGGGAGCATTTTGTAGTGTCAATAACTCCCCTACTTGTTTTTCTTACGTGGAGGTACAATAGAATGGAGGGAGAAGGGTTTTTAAAATCTACTTTAAAAGGCTTTCTTTTTATTTGCACTTTTCCTTAGCTTGCTAATTTATAAAAGGCGATGCTTTTTCAGTGTCCCCAGTCTCATGGGGTCACCTACACATGAAGCCATAAACATTAATCTGGGCTGAGATCACCCGGCTTGTATAGGTCAATTTGATTAGCTAACTTCTGGCCATATTGGTTGAATTTCTGGGTGTTGTAATTTAAAGAACAGTCCGAAAGTATTGATTCCAGCAAGCATTTTTTTTCTTTTTCCCCTCATCCATCCCTTCCCATTACTGTCTGCTTTTTCCTCCCCCCCCCCCCATTGAGTTGTGTCCAATTCTCTGAAACTGCTCAGAAAAGTCCCTGCAGTTTTCTTGACAAGGCTTTTCAGAAGTGATTTGACATTGCCTGGTTCCTAGGGCTGATTAGCTCAGGGTCCCCAAATTGGCTTTGTGCCTGAGGTGAAATTAGGAGGGTGACCTTGGGCCAGTCACTTTATCTCAGTCCTAGGAATGAAAAGTCTTGTTAAGAAAATTGCAAGAACTTGTTCAGGCAGTATCCAAGAATCAGACATGATCGAATGGAAGAAATAAAAAAGTTTCATCATTACTATAGAACAGATAACTGATGGGAGAGACTGAAATTGTCAACCATAGTTTATTTTTTTAAATATCTGGAACTGCACATAATTTCACTCTCATTTCTATATTGTGGCATATCATGATAAAATATACATGGACTTTGTTTTTATGAAATATTTCTATTTGTGCATAGTTACCATATTTTTATTAAAGAGGATGATATCTATTGAAATAATAAACTGAGTATTCAGCTGTGGCATGTCTGACTAGTAGCCTATGCTTATTTCATAACATAGGAACAGAAAAAAATCTCTGAATCTTTTGATCCAATTCCCTGCCTAGACAGGAATTATTGAATCATAGAGATGAAAGTCATCTTTCATAGAGGTCATCAAGGCCAATCTGCTGTACTGCAAGATTTTCTAAAGGTAAAATTTTCCCCTGCCAGTTATGTCCTGATCTAGGGAGCAATGCTTATCTCTGATTCACAGCTGAAGAGCCAGCGTTGTCTGAAGATGCTTCTGTTGTCATATAGTCAGCATAACTATATGCTAAAAGTACATGGAACACTGTTACCTTCCCACCAAAGTGGTGCCTGTTTATCTACTTGCATTTGTATGCTTTTGAACTGCTAGGTTGGCAGGAGCTGAGGCAAATAATGGAAGCTCACTCCGTCATGTGGTACTTAAGTCTTGAACTGTCAACTGTCCTGTCAAAAGCCCAATATCTAGTCCAGGGGTCTTCAAACTTTTATGACTTGTGGACTTCAACTCCCAGAGTTCCTCAGCAGGCACGCTGGCTGAGGAATTCTGGGAGTTGAAGTCCACAAGTCTTAAAAGGCCAAGTTTGAAGACCCCTGATCTAGCCTATGCTTGAAAATCTCCAGTGAAGAGAAAGCATCCATTCCATGTGGTAGTCTATTTCACTAACAGCTTTTACTACAATAAATTCCTTTAAATGTATAATGTATATCTACATCCCTAAAGTTTTATCTCATTAGTTCTTATCTGCTGGAGCAAGTGGGAATAAGTCCTAAGCTTCTACAATGTAACTACCAGTGAAGATAGCCATCATGTTCCCTTTCAGTCTTCCCTTCTACAAGCCTAGGTCTTTTCACCTTCCTTGTAAGATTTGGTTGTCAATCCTTTCACTGCCTTGGTATTCTTTCTTTGGACATGTTCTTAGACCATGCCTTAAAAAAAAATCTCCAGTGATGGAACACTAACAACTCCCTTCCCTTCCCCTACAAAGTTTTCTTAAACTAATGCTGTTTCCCAATTTTTATCTCTTCTGAAGTTGCCTTAATCTTTTGTTAACCACAACAATGCCTCCAGCATTGTTAACCTTGTAGTTATTAGCACTTCCACCTTTGAAAGAAAAACATCCTAATCCTGTCAAGCTCCTTTTTGTTTTGTGGTTCAATTACATTGGACTGCCCTAGAAATGTATATAAATCACTTTGGGTTCTTTGCCATTTTAAATAAGAAAGAGAAGAGAGAAACATTGTCCTTGCTGTCTTGCAAGTAAATAAGTTGCTTTCACCTGAAGCTGCATGTCCAGGGCTCTTAAACTTTTCCAGCAGATACTACCAAATTATGATGCCTCATAAGTAAATAATGGCAAACATGTTTTTCAGTCTATGCCGAAAGTGGCCATTCCATGTTTCTAAAATGTGAAAAGCTGTCTATAATGTGCAATGCCTTTTTGTAAGAAATCTGTGCAGTTTGATATGTTTCCCCTTCATCACATCCTGGATTTAAATGGTTTGGAGAACAGTATATAGTAGTTTATATTTATGTTTATATTGTTTATATAATAGCATGTTTACATTCTATGTTTATATTCTAGGATGTATCTTTATTTATAGTTGCAATTTTATTATATTACTACCATGCATAGCTAGTGGATCTTAATACAAAACTAATGAGAAACTTATTGCTTGTTGCATGCATCATTTTTTATTTGAATATACAAAGTGAATATATCAAAACAGAGCAGATGTTTCTAAAAAGCAGCAAGGTTTTAAAGCCATAAATGTAAAATTTTATAAGTCACTAGAGCTCTTCTTCTAGGGCATAATCCATATTGAAATATGCTTTTAAGTATTAGAGATTTTCACAGACTTAAAATATACTTTTATATATATCTACTTAGAAAGACGTTTCAAATAATTCTACCATTTCCAATTTAGTATAGTGATTAAAACATCAGGCTCGAAACTGCCTTAGACACAAAGCCATCTGGCTGACCTGGGACCAGTCAACTCTGCTTCAGCCTCTAGGAAGGAAGCAATGGCAAACCATTTCTGAAATCTTACCAAAATTGCAGGGATCAGGCAGCTGACAGGAGAAGACTGACTCAAAGGCACAAACAATAAAACAAAACAAAATTTCAAATTGTATAGAAACTATTGTTATTGCTCAATTAAATTAGTTGACCTTCAAATACTTAATACAGTATATGTTGAACAGAATCACCAATTTTCTAGTTGATCTTTGTTTCGTTAATGCAGGTAAAAGGGGGAAATATCTGCATTCTAACAATCACAAATTATATTTGGAAATGAGAGCTATTCCAGTATGCTGAGCAATCCAATCAAAATAGAGTGCCACTTTTGTATAAACACCAGGATGTCCCTTTTCACCACAGTTTTCACCCCAGCTCACAACACCCCAAAGATATCCCACATTGTTACGGTCAAAACAAACCAAAGGTCCTCCTGAATCACCTTTACAGGCATCTACAGAACCATCATCAGTACCTGAAATAAGAAAAACAAAAAGAGTTGCCTACGAACATTCTTCATTTTATATTTTAAAGTAGAAGTTCACATGATATTTGCTGGTCATTCACTGAAAACATATTACTATACATATGCAGTATATTACTTGTATGCTATGACTTTTAATCTAAAGTGTTTGTAATTCATTCAGTTAAATTATTGTTATCACTCATATTATTATTATTTTATTTTACTTTATTTTATTTTATTATTTTTTGAGATTTACATCTTGTCTTTCCTCCAGGACTTCAAGGAATATACACAAGATTCCTTGTCCCATTTTTACCACAACCAACCATCCTGTGAGGTATTGAGATACTGTGATTGAAATGATAGTAATTGATTCAATGTCAGCATTAAGCTTCTATGACTGAGGTAAACCTGAACTCAGATCTCCCAAATCCCTAGTTCAATATGTGAACCTTTATTCTATACTGGTTTTTAATACTGAATTAAAACAATGTCAATCAGGAAGAAAACCTAAAGTGCATATAATAAACTAGTGTGCCCAGAGCTGAACAGATGTTGCCAATGAAATTCTTTCTCAAAACAAGACATATGTTTTAACTACCTATCCATAATTGATTTGTGATGGCTGGAAAGCAGTGCATTCTAGATTGGGATGATATATTTAATATTGAAATTTTCACTGAGCCCAACATTTGATAGTCCATTTCTATCTACCAGCTCAGGTATTGGTGTCAGAATAGAGGTAAGAATGATACATTTCATGCTCACCGGCACATTCCATTCCTTTGAAATACCGATTCTTGTAGATTTCTGAACAGTTACCCATTAAAGTAACATAACCCCATTTAAGAATATATTGTCTTGTGGATTCTAAACAAGAAATGAGAGAAGAGTCAGATAAATCAGTACCAAATATTAATTATAAAATGATTTCCAAGAGGTTGTCAAATTCAAATTGACTCAATTGAGCCAATTCTTTTTGTGGCAAATAATAATTACATTTTTTAAAAAAAAATAATGTATTGTCTTTTTTCAAAATATATACATTATAATGCATTTTTTCATCCTATTTAAGAATACTGCATTTTTGCACATTTTTTCCTTGTGGTATTGGCCGTTCAGCGAGACAGTCTCAGCGACCCTCTGCTCTCCCTAATGCAGTCATTAAAAGACCATGTGGGCCGTTAAATGGAGTGTGGGATGCTTCAGGGGTGAGTCGAGGTCTACCATACCTCTTGAGATACCCCATGTTCCATTCTCCATTTCTCAGGGTCCCCACGGTTCTTGGACCTGCTTTCCCCCACACCAGGTACTTGCAGATAGTCCCCCTCTTCACCAGGTCGCTGCATGCCTTTGGCCTCCTCCCCAAAGCCCTGTCATCTATTGCACACTTATAATTTGAAGATCTCTAGAGCTCTGGCTCTTTCCTCAGCTCTGTGCAGACTGCATTAGGAAAACAGAACAGTATTGTCTGTCCCTGGGCCACATGGCAGTCTCTGGGAAATGGGTGCCATTTTGACATGCCTGTAAAGAATTATGGGAATGCTGAAATTGGAGGTCTCTTCTGGAAGACAGCCAAACATCCCAGGGACAAGTGGCCTGCCTTCCTTCCCCAACATGAGGTCCAAATATCTTCAGAAAATAAATGGGGCACAGACAGGCCAAAGGCTGGAGGGACCCGGCAGAGTGAGATGGGGGAAGAGAGGCTGGGCAGCTTGTAAAGGCAAAGGACCATGGGACACTGCAGCAGCCATAACTTCAAAATGTGGTCATAAATAGCTTTTGAGGGAGGGGGTGTCTGTCATAACTTCAAACAGTGGCCAGATGTTAAGTGAGGACTACCTGTACCTAGCGAATTTTATTTATTGAAAACATTTATCTAGCCACCCATCTTATATCAAACTGGATGATTCCCAATCAACAATTGCAACATTATAAATAAAAGGGACCTCCTTTGCTTTCCATCATCAAATGGAACCCAGACAGCCACTGGAGCTTAAATAGGTGCTAGAGTATGTGTATATTCGCTCTGAAGAAAACATTTTTATAATCTCACCAAATAGAAAGCATTAATTACCTTCATCAAGTCCCCAGCCAGAAACTTTACACCGATGACCATCTCCGAACATATATTGTGACCAGGGAATGCATACTGGCACGGTATCAGGTGGAGAACATGGAGTCCCCTCATTTTTCGTTTTCATCTCCAGTAAAGCAATATCGTTTTGATATGTTTTGGAATTATAGTCCTCATGTATTATCATGTCCTTTAAAGAAAATGTTTCTACCCTGGTATTGAACTTTATTGAGTCTACTAACCCAGTCCAAATCTTATAAACATGGAGACGGCTCCTCCTAGCAAAAAGAAAAAAAAAAGAGAGGAAGAGAAATATTGATTAAAATATAACTTAACAGAAAAGTAAATTTGGCTCCAATTAGATTTTGAGTTGATTAAGAACCAAAATGTTTTATATAATCTTCCACTTTTAGAGACACATTTACCCAATTGATAGGAAGGCAGATTCTTAATAAACATTAGAGAAAATCCCCCACAATAGGAATATTTTAATGGAAGATTCAATTAGCCAAAGTTGTGGTGAGCCTTTGCTGAATGTATTCAAGTGGAGGCTACATGGCCTTCTGTTAGGAGTAATTAATTTGGATTCCTGAACAAAGCAAAGGAGTCAAGTTAATGGTGTGAATACTCTTAACTCTTTCAGTTTCATAGATATAGATATTTCTAACATTCATTAGAAAATCTTTATTTAGTCACTCCTGAGACACTACTAAGGCACTCAATGACTTGTGAACTTCTGAGGCGCTATCAAAGCACTTTTATGACTTGTGGACTTCAACTCCCAGAATTCCTGAGCCAGCAGATGCTTTAAACACAAGCACTATGTCTATGTCTCTATTTGTCTAATCCCACAAGCATTATATACTGAACTTTGAGATGGCTTTCTTACCTCTGCCAACATCCAACCACCACTCTACATAATCCAAAAGAAGATCGTAGAGGTAGATCTATAAGGCAAATCAAATACTAACAGCCATACCTTCTTCCTCGCAAACATATATTACAAGCGGAATTTGATACTCTGTTATATTTCCAGAACTAAGTAAATAACTTTGAATAGATTTATTAAGAAAACTTTTATAACTAAAAATAGTTGGGCTGTTATGGTTATAATATAAGATTTTATCTGAAGTTCTGTTTTTCTTTAGTCGTCATTACAAGAAAGTCCCAATCAGCTTAATTTAGAACTTTAAGGAATTATAACAATACCAAAGGTCTCCTACCGAACGCAGTGTGCAGCGGTCAAAATCCAACAGCCTCCAATGTACACCCCACCACAGTTCATTGTTTGCCCTTCGCCTCTAATGGCCACTTGCCAGGGAAAGTCATGCTATTAAAAAAGGGGAAAGAGGCTGAAGAAAATCAATGTACGGTAACTATCTGGATTGTTACAGATATTGCACTTTTAAAAACCGGAACAGTTTTCGATAAAAATTTACATATATACCCAGCAAGCTCTTCTTTTATCCATTAGTGCAGTGGTTCTCAACCTTTTTAATGCCGCGACCCCCAACCGGTCGTAAGTCGAGGACTACTCAACCGGTCGTAAGTCGAGGACTACTCAACTGGTACAGCACCGTTTGCAGAATGGGACTTTTGGCGGGCTCAGCAGGGCAGAGACAGCCTGGACAATTCCTATTGGCTTTTGAAAGCCAATAGAATTAGACTCTATTCAAGAGAGTCTATTCTATTGGCTTTCAAAAGCCAATAGAATAAAAGGGAGTAGCACAGCTAAGGAAAAGGGGGAAAAAATGGCGGACTGCGTTGTTTGGCGAACCCCGTGAAATGGTCGTTCGACCCCAAATGGGGTCCCGACCCACAGGTTGAGAACCACTGCATTAGTGGATTTATTTAATCTACAGAATCAGCAAAATGTGTAGAATAAATAGCAATTCTCCAAATATTACAGAACATTAATTTTACTTGTGCTGCCCATTCTGGCTCTCTATCTTACAGCTAGAGAAAGAGAGAAGGGAGAAATAAGAAAGCAGGGACATAAAGATTGAAACTGTAACATGAAAATTAACTTCTCATTATATTCTCCAGATTTTACCCTTTATTCATTTCTGAGGCACTACCAAAGCACTCAATGACCTGTGGACTTCTGAGGCACTACCAAAGCACTTTTATGACCACAACTGAGCCCAAAATTTCCCTTGCTAAGCCAGACAGTGAGTGACTTTTGCCCCCTTTTACGACTTTTCTTGCCACAGTTGTTAAGTATTTTGCTGCAGTTGTTAAGTTAGTACAATGATTGGTAAGTGAATCTGGCTTCCCCATTGACTTTGCTTTTAAGGTTGCAAAAAGTGATCACCTGACTCCAGGATACTGCAACCATCATAAAACATGTCAGTTGCCAACATCCAAATTTTGATCACATAACCATGAGGATGCTGCAAGAGTAGTAAATGTGAAAAAGAGTCATAAATCACTTTTTCATCACTGTTGTAATTTCAAATGTTCGCTAAATAAACAGTTGTAATTCAGGACTACCTGTATTGCACCCAATTAGTATACTATGTATGTATTTTTATCAGTGTTATAGTTTAACCAATTGCCATCCTTTGCATTTACCGGTTTTGCAGTAAATCCACCAATGATTCTCTTCTGACGAGTAACTGTGTGATTTGTAATGCCACAGGATATTACAGGCAATAAAGTCTTTGTCCTTTTTCTTTCTTTAATAAAACATAAACAGTGTCATAATGCTCATACACTAAGGTTTTTTAAAGCCTTTACTATGAAAGATTTAATCTTAACTACTTCTACAATTGTCTTAATTTTAGAGAGTTATCCCAGATGTCCACTGAAAATCAATACGGTAAAATTCTAATAACTGTAAAATTACAGTTCTATTCAGAGCTACTTTAAAAATGGATAATATTTCAGTTTAGCAAATTGCTTTACTTCAACTGTTGTATCCAACCCTACTGGGACATTGTCACATCCTCAGAATTTAAAAATGTGAAAATAGAGAAGATTGCTTTTAAAGTATCAGGTTTTATGCTAATTTATCTACACATTTACCTTCATCCATGGACTCTATAACTTGATTTGAGTCTCCTGCAAGAAAATTAAAAAAAAATTAATTTGAAAGTATTGTAAAAGAAATTTTCCCAGTAGAGAATATATATAAATTACTTTAATTGAACAATTACTTGTTAACATTAGACTGTCCCATTTATGTGGCTTTTCAGAGCTTTTTGATGTTTAATAATTAGAATTGGTCTCCACATGCACATAATATCTGTTTTTAAAAAATATAAAAGTAAATTAGTGGACTATGACTACAACAGAGTATCATATGCTGCAGATTGTTGGTAGGATTGCAGTAGAGCAGGGATGTCAAACTGCCGGCCCACGGGCCGGATGCATCATGCCGAAACTACGCCCACCTCATTGCCGGCAATGGGAAAAAAGTCCGCAACACGTTGCGACATGTCATGTTGTTGCGAGTTTGACACCTCTGCAGTAGAGTATCACATACTTAAATATCTCCTTGTGTAGAATGTCAATACCTCCTTTGAGCCCCTATTGGTTTTCAGCATTACAGGTACTTTGATTCTACAATGGTTCATCACATTCAGCCATACAGCCCAAGAGTCCAAGATGAACAGTAGAGCATATAGACTCAATTCAGACCTGCTTCTGCCTAGCAATTGATATGTTCACCTTTAAAACAAAGGAAGCATAAATACCATCTCCCAATTTATCTTATGAAGCAGACAATGAAAGAGCACAAAATTACAGAATAATGGTATTAATAAGGAGATATTATCTTTACAGCCTACTTTTACTTTTATCCATAGCCAAATTTACCATTGTTGCTTCTTTTTCTTCCTTCAGTTTCTACTGAAGTAAAATAATAGTTAATATTTATATGTCTATGGAGAGTCCTAATCATCCAGGTCATGGTTGTCTGAAAGGAGCTTTTTCAAGAGGCAACTGGAGTTTCTTGTATTTCTTTGAAGACGTTTTGCTTCTCATCCAAGGACATAGATAAACCTCCAAGTGGCCTCAACAACTCTCTAAAACACCGATGTCAAACTTGCCACATCACATTACGTGTCGTGACGTATCGTGAGTTTTTTTGCATTGCCAGAGCTGGGGTGGGCACGGCCTCCGTATGATGCAACTGGCCCACGGGCCAGCAGCTTGACACCCCTGCTCTAAAAGAATGCAAATGACCAGCTGTGTGCAAGGAATATTAATCCTTCCATTCCCCACCATCCAGTCAGAGCTGAAGAAGCTTCTTGGATGAAAAGTGAAACATCTTCAAAGAAAAACAAGAAAGTCCAGTTGCTTCTTGAAAAAGTACCTTTGGAACAGTTAACGTTTAGCTGAAATTCTTATTATTTGCCTTTTAAATCTTATTTAACACCTAAGTATAGTGTCAAAAATAAGATCTTGAAAGGTAGTCAAAAAAATATTATACAATTAATATTCAGTATGACATTAATAAAAGATGAAATGTATAGAACAAAATTCATGGAGGAGCTTCCGGTGGGAGGCGACGGCGATGGCGGCTAGTTTTTAGCCGTCCAGCTGGGGACGTGTCAGAGCCGCGGAGCGCAGCGCGCATCAGCTGGCCCGCGGCTCGGAAATCCCTTCCCGGGCAAAGGGAAGGGATAGAGAACGCAAGAGTAGAGGTAGAACCCCTAAACCCCCTCTGGATTTATTTCTAGAGGGGGTGAAAGGAGTGTTCCCTCGGAGCTCTTGCTGATCTCCGCCTCCAAGCTGTTTTTGCTTCCTCGGAAGCAAAAGAAACCGCCGCTTCTATCTCCGTGTTTACAGCATTTTGGTGAGTAATTTTTAAACGGACGGAGCAGTTTAAAGGATTTTTTGTTATATTTTAGGTGTTTATTTTTTTTATCTTTTGATTTTTACTATTTTTCCTCCTTTTCTTTGTTATACTAGTGAAAGGACTTAAGATGGCGTTTTGAAAGTGTCGGAGTTTTTTTTTCCTTTCTCTTTTGTTTTACTTTCCCTTTTTAAGGATTGTTTTTTGCTTTTGCTTTTGCTTTTGGCTTAGAATTTTTTTTTTTTGAATTGTTTGCTCTTTTACTACTTATTCTTGGGATTTATTCTGGACTTTTAATGATTATAGTTTGTCTCTTTTTAAAAATTCTTTTTTTCTTTTTTTCCTCCTCCCTTTTTGGCTGGAGGGGAAAGGGAAGTGACAATTGTGCTTTTTAAAATGGCTTCAAAGAGGCAGCAGCCTTCCTCAATACCCAAGGTTATTTCTTCTCCTATAACTTCCACTGCACAGCTACAACAACAATCTAAACATGCACCACCGGCTCAGCCACCACCCTCCCCTCCTTTACCTGGACTTTCAGTGCAAGAGGTTAGAGGTATAATGGGAGAGATTGTAGTTCAAATGAGAGAGGAAATGACTCAATTTGTTTCACAGATTAAATCAGAAATTAAATCTGATCTCAAAGAAGAGATAACGGGGATAAAGTCTAAATTGCAAGAAAATAATAATGAATTACGACAAGATATACTGGCAGCTGTTTCAGGTTTGGCTACTGTGGTGGTTAAGCTCGATGCAAGGCTTGAGGAAGTGGAAGACAAAGTTGACTCTTTAGATGACAAAATTCAAGACGTGGAAAGGAAGGTGGACTCCTCACAAGAAGATATTTTGATGTTTCAGTACAGACAGATGGAGTATGCTCTGAGGATTAGAGGCCTCAAGGAAGATATGAATCAAGATTTGATGGAGGTGGTTCTTAGTGATCTGGCGCTGGCTTTGGATATGGATAAAGGAGAATTACAGAGAGAAGTAGAAAAAATTTATAGACTCAACTCCTGGATTGCTAAGCAGAAGAATTTGCCCAGAGATGTGGTGATTTACTTTACAAAGAAGTCCCTGCGGAATGAGATTATACAAGCTTTTTACAACAAAAGATTTCAGATTGCCGCCCAAGATGTCATCATTCTAAAGGAAATCCCATCTAAAATCTTAAGAAGTAGGAAAGATTTTGCTTTTTTAACTAATGAGCTTAAAGCTAGATCGATGCCATTCAGATGGGAAATTCCGATGGGTATCGTTTTGAGCCATGCTGGGACACGTTACAGATTGAACACAGTTGACAAAGCTAGAGATTTCTATACTTCGGTCCTGAGTGCAGGCTCAACTTCATCTGGTCGGAAATCTTTGAGTGCTAAGGAACCTGAGCAGCAATCTGAGGCACTAGATTTGGTTTCCGCAGGGATGATAGAAGTGGCAAAGCAACGCCAAACGGAGGCTAAAGAGCAGAGGATGACTCGTGCAGCTTATAAGCGTAAAGAGAAAGAGCAACGTAAAAAAGAGCCCAAAGAGAATTCTCCTGGAAGTGCATCACCGCCGGTGGGAGGAGCAAGACCCAAGAGTTATGCAACACACGCAGCTCTGTCAGAGTTTGATGGTGTCTTCTCCAGGCTGCGTGCCAAGGGAGATGGCAAAGTTTTTGACCTGGAATGTTAATGGATTGAATTCTCCTCAGAAACGGAAAAAAATCTTTTATTATTTGAAGCAACATACCAATGATGTTATTTGTTTACAGGAAACTCATATTCTACTTAAAGATCAGAAATATTTAGTTAATGCTCGTTTGGGATCTCATTTTATATCTCCTGCACCTGGGAAGAAAGGGGGAGTTGTTATATATGTCAAACAAAACCTGCCAGCTTGTCTGGTAGAATCAGATCCCCAGGGGAGATATGTGATGATTGAACTTGGTATTTATGGTAAGAAAGTACTTATAGTTGGACTTTATGCTCCAAATCAACAACAGGAACAATTTTATAAACAGTTACACCAAAAAATAACTTTGCTTGACTATAGATCAGTGGTACTAATGGGTGATTGGAATGGTGTCTTAGACACACAAAGGGATAAGAAAGGTTCCTCTCCTTTTCTTAAACAAGCAAGGCTACCTAAAGCCTTTTTTGATATGAAAGAAGACTGGGAATTAAGGGACTATTGGCGGGAACGTAATCAAGAGGAGAGAGACTTTACTTTTTTTTCTGACAGACACCAATCTTTTTCAAGAATTGACTTTTTCTTGATTACCACGGATTTGTATAATAAAGTAAAGAATGTAAAGATTTTTCCTAGATCACTGACGGATCATAGTCCAGTTTGGATGGAGTTGATTCAAGAGAAAGAGGAAAGAAGATCCTGGAGAGTTAATGAAAATTTGTTTAGACAAGAGAAGAATGTTCAAAAACTAAAGGAGTGTTTAAAGGACTATTTTGCTTTGAATATGTACAAGGGGACTTCAATGTCAATGGTATGGGATGCAGGTAAAGCATTTATGCGCGGTGTTTTGATAAAAATGAATAATTTTTATAAGCGAAATCAGATTCAGAAACGTAGAGAACTTGAAGATGAAATTAAACTAAAAGAAAGGGCTTTGATTCTAAATCCTTCTGATGAAAGTACTAAAGAATCTGTAAAGTTATTAAGGTCACAATTTAATATGTTGATAGCAGATCAAGCTGCAACCAATTTATTATTTATGAAACAAAATACATTTTGTAATGCTAATAAGCCGGGGAGATGGTTGGCTTATCAATTAAGAAAGAAACAGAGACAGAGAATAATAGAGAAAATAAATTATAAGGGTAAACTAGTTTCTCAGAAGGAATTAATTAAAAAATCTTTTTTGGATTATTATCAAAACCTATACAAATCTACTAATGTACAACTGTTAGATATAAATAAATATTTAGCTGAGGCAAGTTTTCCTAAACTGACTGAGGATCAGAAATATGAAATTAATGGTTTAATCACTAAGGAGGAAATCGCCTCAGCAATTCAACAATTGAAATTAGGGAAAGCACCGGGTACGGATGGGTTAACAGCTGTTTATTATAAAGCCTTAATGGAGGAGATGATTCAACCATTAAATGATCTTTTTAATGGTATCCTACAGGGTTTAGAGATTCCTCCTTCATGGCGTAGTGCTTTTATATCATTGATTCCAAAGGAGGATCAAGATCTTACTTTACCAAAAAACTATAGGCCTATATCTCTTTTAAACGTGGATTATAAGATATTTGTAAAAATTTTGGTAAATAGGCTTATGAGGGTGGTGCATCATCTTGTGCATAAAGATCAATCAGGGTTTATAACAGGAAGGTATATGAAAAACAATGTTAGACAAATTATTAATTTACTAGAATACTTAGATAAGAACAACCAAGTTTCTGCAGGGCTCATATTTTTAGATGCTGAAAAAGCATTTGACCAACTGAATTGGCATTTTATGCTAAGAGTAATGGAAGAAATGAATTTTGGTGAAAACATATTACAAGCCCTTAAGGTAATATATCAAAAACAAACAGCACAACTTATTGTTAATGGAGGTTTGTCGGAGGTTTTCACAATAGAGAAAGGTACTAGACAGGGGTGTCCTTTATCGCCATTGTTGTTTGTTTTAACATTGGAAATATTATTGATTAAAATTCGAGAGTCTCAGGAAATTAAAGGAATATATGTTAATAAAAAAGAATATAAGTTGAGAGCTTTTGCGGATGACTTGGTTGTTACTTTGTCGCAACCTGACTATTCTGTAGTAAACTTATTACAGTTGATTCACCATTATGGTTTGGTCTCGGGTTTTAAGATTAATGTAAATAAGACTAAAATTTTACCTAAAAATATGTCGAGTCAGGAGAAGCAGATTTTGGTTAACTCGACGGGTTTTGAGATTGTTAATAAGGTAAAATATTTGGGGGTGATGCTGTCTGTTTCTAATGCAAAATTATTTAAAAACAATTATGAAAGGTTGTGGGTCGGGGTACAGAAAGACTTGAAGAACTGGGAAAAGCTGCAATTATCCCTCATGGGAAGAATTGCAGTGATAAAAATGAATATTCTACCCAAGTTTCTTTTTTTGTTTCAAATGTTACCAATTTTGAAAAATGAGATTAATTTAAATGAGTGGCAGAAGGGTCTCAATAAATTTATTTGGGCAGGGAAAAAACCAAGGGTTAAGTTCAAAATTATGCAAGACTTCCGTGAGAGGGGTGGACTCAAGGTACCAAATTTGAAATTATATTATGATGCGGTGGTTTTAACATTAATTAGTGACTGGGTAAATTTGACAAATTCTGAGATACTTTATCTAGAGGGATGGGATTTACTTTATGGGTGGCATGCCTATTTAATATTTAATAAAAAAATAGATTGGGCTTTTAAATCTCATATTTTAAGAATTTCTTTACTTAGGATTTGGAGAAAATATTATAAAAGTGATTTTAAAGTACCATTATGGGCTATACCTTGGCATGCGATAGAAGGAATAAAAAGAGGGGTTAAAATGGATATGGTGTCTTATAGACAGTTACTTAAATGGGATGGACAAAACTGGCAATTAAAATCACGGGAAGAATTAGCACAAGAAAATTTTACTTATTCTTGGTTCCAATATAGGCAATTACTAGATAGATGGAAGATGGATTGCAAGGTGGGTTTTCTTAGAGAAGATGAAAATCTTATTAAGCAACTGAAGGATCAAAGACAAACCCACATTAAGAGAATTTATGGGGTTTTAGTTGAATTGGACTCAGAAACGGAACTAATTAAAGATTGTATGATTAGATGGGCGCAGAACTTTGGTGAGCCAGTTTCATTGGACACCTGGGAAACTATTTGGGTGAGAAATGTCAAATTTACTCAAGCACAGAATTTAAGGGAGAATTTTTATAAAATGTTTTATAGATGGCACCTTGATCCACAAAAAATGTCTTATATGTACCCTGACGTGCAACCTAAATGCTGGAGATGTGGTTACAAGGAGGCTTCTTATTATCATATTTGGTGGTCATGCAGAGAGATAAAAGCATTTTGGATCAAAATATGGTGGAATATCCAGAGAATTTTTAGAAGGAGGGTAAAATTCACTCCGCAATTATTTTTGTTAGGTATTGTTACAGATTGTGATACAAAGGAGGTTGTATTGATGTTAAACTTGATCACAGCCGCGAGGCTGTTAGTTGGACAATATTGGAAGAAGGAATCTTTGCCTACATTGCAGGAATGGTTTTTTAAAGTAGCTTATCTGGCGGAAATGGCAAAGATTTCGGCTTTCTTAAAGCAACAAACGCAAGAGAAGTTTTTTGCTATCTGGGACAAATGGATAAAATTTATACAATTTAGATTGGGTATACAAAAATATTATATAGCCTTTTCATAAGTTTTATTTTTATATATATTATAGATATCTTTTTTATATATATAAATATAGAGTTTTTAATTTAATTTTTATTTTTTTTTTTTATTATTATTTCTTAAGCCTATATTCTGCTCTGGGAAGCTCAGGGGGGGGGGAAGGGAGGGTTTTTGGGAGGGGTGTGGGGTGGGGTTTTTTTTTTTATATGTATTGTTTAATTTTTTTTTCTCTTTTGTATATGTTGTTTTTTGTTCTGTATTGTTCTTGTTTTTTTTGTAAAATTTATAAAACTTTTAATAAAAAAAAAAAAAAAAAAATTCATGGAGTTATTTTTACAGTATAAAAAGAATATAAACCTTGAAACCTAATGCAAAAATCTCCACTATGTTATTATATTCATAAATGCTAAAAAAATAAATTCATTGACTGCTATTAATTGTCATCCAGACAATTGCAGCCCATATATAAAAGTCCTTGTTTAAAATCTTATTTTTCTAATTATTGCATATGAAGTTTATTTTATGTCTTTTTAAACAAATTCACAGCTCCCTTTCAAATCAAGATTTCCAAGGACACAGATAGAGCTTATTAAAATTATTCAGTGGAATTATTACCTCAGACAAAAAGTCAGACAACTTCCACCCCTATTAAGTGGTTTCCAGAAAAGAGCTGGGATGATAATAGACAATGGCATTTAAGATTAGAATAAATAGAGAAAAAAACATACAAAGAATTTTACCTTTTTTTCTTCTTCCAGTTTTATTACCTATTGAATATATATGAATACAAAAAATGATTTAAAAATTAAAAAGTGCAATTTTATACAAAATCACATGTGCAAACTATGATGTGAAGTGAACCAACCCACTTGCAATAATTAGGCCCATAAAACTCACTTAAAAAAAATAATAAAGTGATTGTATTCATTCCAAGTAAAATCCTGTGTCAGTCATATTAAAATGAATAATATACCAGCCTTCTGTAATTAGGTTTTTCTAAACAAAGAAATCTTTGTTAGGTTTTCTTGATCAGTTCTGCATACTTTCAGCCACCATTGCCCTTGAGAAGTTAAGCTCTTTGAATGTAAGATACCAAGATCAAGAAGTTGCTTGTATAAATCAGAGATTTGGAATTGCTAAACTATGAGGTTTATCTGACCCACTCGCTTCATTAGTGGATACTCCACTGACTTTTACCTGTGCCTTATCCTTCCCTTGGGACCTATTTGGAGGACAAAAAGAAAACTTGTGGATGCCCACTGTGATAGCATTCTTCCAAAAATACAATATACAGGTAGTCCTTGACTTACGACCACAGGTGAGCCTCAAAATTTTGTAGCTAAGTGTGACATTTGTTAAGTGAGCTTTGCCCAATTTTACAACTTTTCTTGCCACAGTTGTTAAGTGGATCACTGCAGTTGTTAAGTTAGTAACACAGTTGTCAAGTGACCCTGGCTCTCCCATTGACTCTCCTTGTCAGAAAGTTACAAAAGATGGTCACATGACCCTGGGACATTGCAGCCATCATAGATATGAGTCAATCGCAAAGCATCTGAATTTTGATCACGTGACCCTGGGGATGCTGCAATGGTCGTAAGTGTGAAAATGGTCATAAGTCACTTTTTTCAATGCGATTGTAACTTTGAATGGTCACTAAATTAACTGTTGTAAGTCAAGGACTACCTCTACATCCTACATTCCCTAGTAGAGAATATACATACATTGTTTAGGACTGAACCTTTTTCTGAGATTGGTTTTTTTTTTCCTGCTGTCATTTTACAGAACAGGTAATGAAACATCTACAGAAAAACAACCAAACTCAGACAATACCAAGGATCCAACAATAATCCTGCCTTGTCAGTGACAAAATGTACTTTGTCACTGTCAGTTGGGAAAATGTAAGGTGGTTCCTGCCAGTTTGTGATATAAGTCTTTCCCATTGGGGAAAGGAATTTTTTGAAATCAGTTCAGCAGTTCTCACCTTCCTCACCATACAAAGTTTTGAAATCAACTAGCTCCAGCCATTTCACTTGATTCACTCTTCATTTCCAGCTAGGATAATGGGGATTAGATGGAACACGTGACAAAGCAGGTGTTCCCCTTGCCCTTCTTTTAAGGAAATGCATAAATCCAAGAAGGAAGGCTTCAAAGCGAAAGCATTACCCCTTGATCTCATTCAACTCTTCAACCAATCTAGGTTGACATCCCTGTTGTAAATCAGATTATCAGATCATGACCAGAGTGCCATTAACATATTGTGTGCTTATCATATTCACCAACTGGAATCCAGCCAGCTGTACAAAAACCTCTATTGTATGCTAGTTTTAAATAGCAATAATAGCTGATTCTAATGTGGTATCTGAAATTTATTAAAATGCTTATATTCATGGGGGAAATTACTGTTTTAACCTAGCCATAGATAATTTCAATAATAATAATAGTAGTAAAGTTGGAAGGGACCTTGGAGGTCATCTAGTCCAACCCCCTGCTCAGGCAGGAAACCCTACACCATTTCGGACAAATGGCTGTCCAGTCTCTTCTTAAAAACTTCCAGTGTTGGAGCATTTACTGCTTCTGGAGGCAGGCTGTTCCACTGATTAATTGTTCTCACTGTTAGGAAGTAGAAAGCAATGCTTACAATTGAGTTCATCTTCTCCTGTTAGGCAGTCCAATTCATTATTACATACAGAGCTGCTTGGAATACACACATCTGAGTTACAATGGAAATGTTTCCTTTTGCAGGCTATTGGAAAAGAAATAATTGAGTATATAATAAGTAAGAGCTCTTTAAAAGTTATACCAAGTACTATACTATGAATACATATGTTTATATAGAACAGATATATGAAGAAAAGGAGCATACCTTTGCAACATAATTCATCACTTAAATCACCACAGTCATTAAGTCCATCACATGTTTTAGTTGAAGAGATACATTTCCCATTGACACAGTGGAATTCTCTGGGGCTACAGTCTGACAAGTTGGATAAAAAAGCAATAGTTTGTTAATAATGGTGTTCTGGATCGTATAACTCTATGTAACCCTGGCTAGAGCATGTAGGTTTGCATGTAAGAATGTTTGGCATGTATTGGGTTAAGTGCTGTCTCCTTAAGAGACAGCTTGTGGGTAATATAGTTTAGCTAGTTAGCTATCCCATATCAATGGGCCAGTGGGAGGAGTTACTGAGCTCATCAGAGGATTTCCTGGACACAAGCCAGGGGGAAATGTCTTTTTTCTTCCAAGCCTAATGGCACTTAGCCACGGCTTGGAGGTCCTATGCCAACATGTGATGCTTATGCAGTAGAAGAGGGGAAAATCCACCATCAAATTACCTATGGAAATGAACAGAGATGTATTATCCAGAATCAACCAACATAAATGCAAGTAATTCCTCTGAATAAATATATTTCTATTATGCAATTATTTCTATTGAGTTATCTGTCTGTCTTGGATGGGACTAAAAGCAATCTGTTCTGTCTGGGTCAGAACAGTAATTTGATGGGATTAATTTTCCTCTAATCACCTGCAAAAGTAAATTCAAGGCTTTATCTTCACATTTGACTCTAGAATGAGAAATTATGGCTTTCTGTATATCAGCTTTGAAAGAAGAAAAGTAAAAGACTGTAAACATTTTATATTTGTGCTAAATTGCCAGTGTTTTCTGTCTGCCAGACAACGTTTAAAGCAAAAGAGGAAAAGTTTTTACTCTTATTGTAAGGATTTCTTGCATGTAAAGGCTGTATTTCTAAAGATCAAAGGAGCTTGGGGCGGCCACCCCCACCCCCCCTTTGCCTACAACTCAAACATGTGTGTATGAGAGACCAAGCCCGTTTGCTTCTGAGCCCTCACTTTAACAGTCTATGCTGGGAGGTGTGGAGTGCACCTTTGACTCTTCGCAGGAAAGACTGAAAGTTTCCTTGCTGGCAAATTCAAAGTTTAGAAAACCTCTGTGGCCTTTGTTTAATGTTCAGAACAAGCAGACCCCCTTTTTGGCCCAGCAGCAGGCAATAAAACCATTTGTCATCTTAGTAACCCAGCCCTGGAGAGAGAGAAGCTAAACTCCCCCCTCCCTTTGGAATGCTAAGAATTTTAATGGAAAGAAGGAATGCAGAGGTTCCAACAGCAATGCAGTAGCATCCCCTGGTGGCCAATTTGCACATGACACCTTCCTTATGCAATTTTTTTGCAATTTCTTCTATGCTGGATTACAACAACTTGATAATTAATTCAGCACATAGCAGACTTACACCAAGCCAAGTTAAGAGCACCCCCTAGAAGGAAAAGAAGGTATTTCCCTGCACGCATTTCTAACTACGCAGAGTGAATCTGATAGTTAAAGAGCAAGTTACTTAAATTCATCCCAAGCTACCAACACCCCCTAGAGGGCACAGAGTGAACTTCACCAAAAGTAATCACTCACTCAAGCTGACGACCAAGAAGTTCCAGCTTGAGAGCAAATTAAGGAGAAGAGCAGGCAGCAATTAACCTTGCTTATTATCACAAAACTGATGACCCAAGAAGTTCCAGCTTGCGACCTAACGACCAGGTGGGAGTTTGTGTGAGCTAGTGGAAACTTAGCATTCTCTCAGTGGCCACTAGAGGTAACGTGGTAGTAAGAAGAATTTGGCTGACCATCTCCAGATGCCCCCTAGTGGTTAAAGGAGGAACTACACGCAAGCCTTTAATCATGCACAGAGGAAACCCTCTAGTGGACAAAGGGTGAACCTTGAAGGAAGAGCACCTTGGTAGCTGACCTGCAGGAAGTGACCCCTAGTGGTGAAAGGGTAAATTGCGCTGAAGTACCCACGAATGCAGAAGAATGCACCCAGTGGCGCCTCCACCCACAGAAGAAAAGTCATAAAATGGGGCAAAACTCTTAACAAATGTCTCACTTAGCAACAGAAATTTTGGACTCAATTGTGGTCATAAGTCGAGGACAACCTATAGTAATGCCTCTGGAAAGCATCAACTGAATTTTAGGGAAGAAAATTCTGATAGCAAGAGCAGTTTGACAATGGAATCATTGATGAATGAATGAAGGAGATAGTAACATCTCTTCATTCATAGGAATTTAAGTGAACACTAGAGAAATATCTTTCAAGGTATTCATTTTGGCTTCTAGGACAGAAGAGAGGATTGAACTCAATGACCTTAATGCCCTCTTCCAATTGAATCAATTAGGATTCAGTCACATCCATTCACAAAAATCCCTACTAAGGCCAGATCATTGCAGTAGCTACAGAATGCTGTTTGTCTCTTGACAGGAAAATAACAAAATCAAGGCAACAGACTAAAAGTGGATATGCCTGGCTGGAACACTGAAAATCAGCATTTTGCATTATATTTTATTGCATATTTCTTTTGTCTCTAACTTCTAATTATAATATCAGAATTGGCTAGTTATTAATAAGATACATTTTACCAACCTCTTTGTTCTGTATGGCATATCACCTTAGCCAACTTCCCAGTGGTCAAACGTATTTTCTTTAAATCACACTCAGCTAGACTCGTCTCTGTCCCTCTGCAAGTTGCTTTAAGGCATTCATGTGAATTCTGGTCTTCATCTGCCTCAACAGATTCTTTGCCATCAGCTCCTCTATACAATTCAGCAAAAAATCAAATCAAATCAAACATATTCAAATGCTCATGTTTCAGCATTCTGGGTAATGGAATGTTTGCCAACAAATAATCAAGTTCATAGTGCACCAAGCACTCTGTAATTCATCAGTGAGCTATCTTCTTCAGGATTTTATTTTTTGGTTAATAGTTTATTCTATAATCAGCAATAGAAAATCACCTCTTCCTCATCCACCCATAGTGAATTATTTGAGGAAAAAAATTAATTTTCTATCAAGTAAAATAAGTGCTATCCTCTTTTTAAAAACTTCATGTTCTTCTGGCCATAAAGAAGCAGCTATATGATTGCTATAAAATATTTATTCATTCAAGTGTTGGATTATACATGAATTTAATCACACATTTTTGCTCTGGCCCCGTCTATTTTTTTCCTGACCATTCCAACTTTTGAGTATTGGCCTCACTGCATTACACGAGACTGAATGAGGCTCTTGGCCCCACCAAGCTAATGCTACTTGAAGTGAACAGACTGAAATTTTATTCATAGATGACATTATCAATTGATTGTGATTTTGTAATGATACTTGTAAATCTACACATTGGAGAAAGCTGCTCTAACATATTTTCATTTCTTTTTAAAAAAGGAAGATATTGGAAGTAAAATAGAGCTACTCTCTAAACAGTATTTTATTTAAAGTTATTAGCACAAAATATTTTATTCTATTAGAGAATCTTACTCAGCAAAACCAAGATGTCTGCAGATCACGTTTGCTTCATGGATGGTTAATCCTTTCTCACATAAGAATGATTTCTCTGAGTTGCTCAGTTCAATTTGAATAATTCCTTCCGAGCTTGCATTTTCATGACTGAAGAGAACATTAAAGCGAGCTTGAAAACACAACAAAGTCTATTAATATTTATGTTTATGCACCTTACAAAAGACAAAGATCGATTTTATTAGCTATAACCTGGCTAATCTATAGTGGTAATGCACAAATGCTCCAATAAAACAACTTGTTATGTAAATATCTACAAATATATATTTGTCAAAAAAAAATGCCACTGGAATATTTTTTTAAAAAAAAATATGAGTTTAATAGAACTTCCTTCTGATTGCAAGGAGTAGACAGTCTCCATCCCTCCAATTTATTTTTAGTAGCCCACTTCTCACAATCCTACTCTTGTTTGAGCCATTTTTGAAAGAAAACCAGGCATATGAAGGGGAAATGCATATCGATCACTAGAATTTGGCCCAAAATTGAACAGAATTACTCAAAGTATCTATCATTGTCAAAATATTTCTATGTTGTACTTCAGTCTTAAAGCTTGTCTCCTCTCACTAATGATGGCTGAAAAAGGGGAAAAAAGTCTCTTTTTTTTTTTACCTTCACGGTTACACAAGCCTCTGCTCAAAAATTTGCTCGATCTTTGGCGACATTCATAACTTTTTAGCTGACAATAAGTTTGGAAGCTCCTTCTGACAGTGGAACAAACTGAAGTGCCATTTCTGGGGCACTGGTAAGGTATTTTACAGTGACAAGTTCCTTCTATACACGTCTGCCAAGGCTGACAAAAAACCTTTTCACAAGATTGCTCTGTGTAATTGTTCTCCAAACATTCCTCTATCAAGTAACTGTTTTGCTAAAAAAAGAAAAGAAAACACAATTTATGAAATTAACTCGTTCTCTTAAGGTTTTTAAATATATACTTCACAGGAAGTTTATTTAACAGCTTAAAATATAGCAAAGAAAGTTTCTCAACCACAATTTAATTAAAATAAAAGCTTACCCCTTGTGCAAAAACATGACGTGACAAGTATAATATAAACAAAAGAACTGATCCTTGTGTCATGATGAAGAAAAACTGCACATCCAGAACAGATTTTTGGTCTCAAATCCTCTCTTAGATACCAGTGTTTAATTTTTAACTATAAACAAATATTTAAAATATAATAGTGAAATCACCTTTCTACTGTGGTGATTCTAGAATTCTTGACTCTTTTTAAAAGGTTCTTCTACTCAGTTTCACCCTAAGTACAAGAAAAGATTGCTATAAAAAGTAATATAAAGAAAACGTCTATTTGTACTATTTTGTGCTTAATCCCTGAAACCCTGCCTCAGCACTTTGTTTTCTACACAGGCACTTCCTTTATGTGCCTCTGTAGAACAGTCCTAATACACAAATCGTGATTGGCTGTTATTTGCATAATAAACAGTAAGTTTATATCAAGGTTATGTTTGGTCAGTTGCTCAAATCTTTGGAATAGAAAAGTATGTTAGAAAGGAGAGAAATGCAAATAAGTTCTTCCTTATGTTGGAGATAAGAAATAAAGCAGAATAGTACTAAAATACAAATCAAATTATGAAACCATGGAATATCAAGCAATTTGATTAGAGATTGCAGCAGTAATTAGAATGAATTAGATTCTTATCTGCATTAAAATCAAATTAGTGTAGCACTACTTGTATAAGATTGATGATCACCCTATTAAAACCAGTGTTATAAGATTAATTTCATTTTTAGGCAGAGAGTAAAAAGGAAGTGGAGAGAAACGCAAAGATTTTGTAACATTTATAATTTTTAAGAAGAGTTGAAAAGGAAGTGGAGACAAATAAAAACAATGCTGAGTTTCTTTTTACACAGATATCTAGTTTATTCTACCTCTAGCTGAAAAAGAGTAGATTACTTTTTCTTGCCTTCTCATATTACAAAGTTAAAACAAATAGTGTAACAATGAATTTCCCAGGAAACGTTGTTTAATAAGTAACAAGAAATTGGCTAGGAACTGCTTCAGGATATTAACACTAATAAAAGACCTTTGATATATTTCATATGAAATAAGATAAAATGACACAGCAAAATATCATATTGTCTCAAGCTTTTTAATATTAAAGTTGTCAAGCTGTTATTTCCTTCAGTTTTTCATCTATCAAGATGTGTGTGCATTTTGTTTAAAGATTTTGTATTTCAAAAGACAGAATCAATCAGTCTTAAAGGAACGAACCTTCCTTCCTTCCTTCCTTCCTTCCTTCCTTCCTTCCTTCCTTCCTTCCTTCCTTCCTTCCTTCGTCTCCAATTTGGGTCTGAGCTTGGTGCTGAGGCTGATGAACACCAGACACAAGGTGCAGGTTTTCTTTTCTTTTATTGAAGGGCTCCAAGAACACGGAGCCTGGCCAAAATGACAAGGAACCCCGAACCACAGTATTAATAAAGCTTTATACATTTTCTCTAAAGCAGAAGGCGGGAGGTGGGATATATAAGAAATATCATCTAATAAATATTTCAATAATAATCTAACAATTATTCTATTGGTTTCTAGCAGTCCCTATCCTTAAGCCTTGGCTAATGAATGCTTCAGGAGTTATCTAATACACATACTATTTGCTCCAGGCCAGGGGTTTTCAAACCTGGCCCTTTTATGACTTGTGGACTTCAATTCCCAGAATTCCTCAGCCAGGCACACTGGCTGAGGAATTCTGGGAGTTGAAGTCCACAAGTCATAAAAGGGCCAAGTTTGAAGAACTCTGTTTCAGTCCATCTCTATTCCTAACTTTTAGCTGAGCTTGCAAGATGCCTAAGTCTTTTGTTACTTTTATCAGCTTTTTGACCACACAGAATTATTACAAGCTTTACACGTCATATTGCCTGTGAATAAACATTCTTTGTCCTTGCCCCACAAACTCCCCAATTACAGGCTTCCTGGTCTCCTTTCAAGTGTATGCCATAATCTTGCTTTATTTTGGCAAACAGCCTATCACTTCCTTCCTTCGTTTTCTGTAACTTTGGATCCCACAGCTGGAGCTAGAAGCACAGATTGGGATCTTGTCCTATTGCATGGTTTATTATGACTAATGAAGGGGGAGGACCTTTTTTTTTTTTAAATGACTTTAGCCTGTTAGTTTTTTGAAATATTGTAAAAATATATTTAAATCCAAACCTGTTTTCACTCTCTAATTCTCTATATCAGTGGTTCTCAACCTGTGGTCTAGAATTAGAGTCTAATTCTATTGGCTTTCAAAAGCCAATTGTCCAGGCTGTCTCTGCCCTGCTGAGCCCGCCAAAAGTCCCATTCTGCAAACGGTGCTGCACCAGTTGAGTAGTCCTCGACTTACGACCGGTTGAGTAATCCTCGACTTACGACCGGTTGGGGGTCGCGGCATTAAAAAGGTTGAGAACCACTGCTCTATATACTTATTTGGCAATAAGAGCCTCATGAATATGCATTTGTTTATGAGGTTTCAAACACAGACTACAGACATTTTTTTCGCTAAGCAGTTGTACATTCTTCCTTTCCATGGTTCCTGGAAGCATTGCACAATACGTCATCATACACTATTAACCGTAACAGGGATGTAAATAACAGGTTTGGTTGCAATCTGGCTTTTATAAATATTTCTGTGTCCAGAGTACTGAGATTTTACACTAAACAATCTGTGCTCTGTTGGGTCATCTTTTCAGAAATATTTACTTAAACCAGTGTTTCTCAACCTTGACAATTTTAAGGCATGTGGACTTCAACTCCCAGAATTCCACAGCCAGCATTGCTGGCTGTGGAATTCTGGGAGTTGAAGTCCACATGCCTTAAAATTGTCAAGATTGAGAAACACTGACTTAAACAGATACATAAAATGACCATTGGAGGAGGAGAAGCAGTGGGAGTGGGAGCAATTTCTGACTTTCTGCTAGCTTCCCCATTGATTTTGTGTGTGGGAAGTTTGCAGGGAGAAAGTCAGTGGGGAAACCAATTGGGAAAGTCACAGGTTGCTCTGGTATGTTTTCCCCACCCACACACTCTCCCCAAGGGCTGCACTCATGTGGTCACTCATGCACCCTCACTTATATCCTTCCCTGACCCTCCCTGCACCTCTTGGGCACCCCGTCACATCATCACCAACCCATGCCACACCACACCATCTCATACACCATTTCATTCCCTTGCCCACCCAGCACCAACAACTTACCTGCCTGCTGGCCTTGCATTTGCAACTTCCTGCTGGGTTTCCCACTGATTTTGCTTGTGGGAAACTTGCAGGAAGAAAGACAATGGGGAAGCCGGCAGGAAAGGGTGCAAGCTTCTCAGGTAAGTTTCCCTCATCCGCACTCTCTCCCAGATCTTCTGTACTTGCACTAACTACTCAGGCAACCCTGGCATCCTCCTTGATTTGCGCAACACTCTCATACACCCTCCCTGACCTACATCTTCTTCAACTTGCTCTGTACATTGCATGCACATCTTCTGTCACACACTTGCACACTCTTATTGACTATCATGGCCCCATTGGAGCCTGGTTTGGAGGAGGAGGATTTGGAACCAGGATTGTCCAACAGGGATGACACGTCTCCCTTGGCATGTTTGGAGAGGCGAGGGGCTGAGCACGATGCTGTCCTAGGCCCCTCAGGCATTGGGGGAGGTGGTTGAGCAGACAGAGAGCTACGTACAGTGGTAGGATTAGCTGGTTCGCACCAGTTCAGTAGAACTGGTAGCTCATTTTTTGTTGCCAAGACCCAGAATGGACTTCTGGAAGTGGCATCCAGAGAACCGGTTGTTCACATATCTGAATTCTACCACTGGTTACGTATCTTCACAGACACAGGGGTGGATTGGCTGCTGACAGGCAGTGGTGCTGATAGGCAGCAGATCTCCTCTAATGAGGAACAGCTGCCTCCTCCACTCAATTCAAGGGCATGGAGAGCAAGCAGAGTGTAGGCAAACTCAGAGAAGGGGTTCAAGGCTACTTAGAACAGTGGTTCTCAACCTTTTTAATGCCGCGACCCCCAACTGATCGTAAGTCGAGGACTACTCAACCGGTCGTAAGTCAAGGACTACTCAACTGATGCAGCACCGTTTGCAGAATGGGACTTTTGGCGGGCTCAGCAGGGCAGACTGCGGACTGCGTTGTTTGGCGACCCCCGTGAAATGGTCGTTCGACCCCAAATGGGGTCCCGACCCACAGGTTGAGAACCACTGACTTAGAAGGTCACCCCACCCCTCCTCACAAGGAACACCTGGAGTGGAGTGACTTAAGGAGAAGCCATGGGGAGTTGGTCTTTCCCAGAAACAATTGTTTGTTTTGGCTTACGCTCCCCCAATTTTGACTAGTGCCTTTTGCCTTGCCTTGCTTTGAAGACTGCTTTTCATCTTTTGCTTTGCCTATCCTTGAGGACTGCTTTCTGCCTTTTGTCTTGGACCTTGCCTTGTGGACTACTTTTGACTACTTTGCTTTGCTTTGCCTTTATAACTTTCTCTTGTCTTGTATCTTGTCCTTGTCCTGAGGACTGCCAGTTGTCTTGTGCCTCTACTCTGCCTCTTGGACTCGCTTAGCCGGGTGGATTTGGACTTGGAATCCTGGACTTTGCCCTGTGAGCGTGTTCCTACTGTGGACTGTATTTGTAATACAGGGGCTGTTGTTTGGGGGTCTGAGAGTAGCTGCCTTCAGGGTAGCATGGGAGTGGAGGGCTGTTTGCTAGAATATTTATTGAGAGCAATAAAGGACTTTCTAGAGCAGGGGTGTCAAATTCAATTTCACTGAGAGCCACATCAGGGTTGTGGTTGACCTCGGGGGTGAGGGGGTGGGGGGGCGTGGCCAGGGTGAGTGTGGCCAGGGTGGGCATGGCCAGCTCAACATCGCTTGTGTTGGGGGGCACCTGAGTGGTCTGGACAGGGCTGGGGGGATCCAGCCTGGTCCTCAAGCTCCCAAGGCACTGGGACCCCACAGCCCAGCCCAGCCCTGCTATCCCAAGAGGCGCCCTGCTGTGCTTATCTCCTCCTCGAAGCTGCTGCTGCTGTTCTTGCTCTCCTTGGCCATGATGTGTGTGGGAGGGCAAAGTATGTGGGTCAGAGGGAGGCCCACTCTCTCTCCATATGAGGAAACCTGGCTTTGTAACTAAAGTATCCTCGGCAATAGGATGGGAGACCACCAGGAGAGATCAAGATGAGGAGACAAGGGAATGGCAAAAGGGCAGCAGGGCTGCTGGTGGCCAAATGCTAAGACAGCACTTCCCTCAGACCCTCCCTCTCTCTCATTGTAATCCCCTCCCTCCCTTTTCTTCTTTTTCCTTGCCTCTTTATTCTCCTTTCTTCCTTCCCCCTCTTTCCTTCTTTTTCTTTTCTTATTCTCTTCCCTTCTTTCCTTCT